AGGATTTAGGATCTAGGGTTTAGGCACCTGGGCCAGGGAGCCCGCTGGGGTTCACAGGTTTAAGCTTTGAGGGTTTTGTCATACTAAGATTTAGGATTTAGGGCTAAAGTTTTGAGGGTTTCGTCCTGGTAAATTTCAGGATTTAGGGTTTAGGGCTTAGATTCAGGGGAATCTTTTCCTGTTTCTGAAAGGTTGGAGGTTGTCAGTGTCTGGGTTGCCGAGGTTACTACTTTCTGAGAGGAGCAGAGTAATTTTGTGGCCATGTGAGAGGCTTGGGGCCTTTATGCAGGTTCTATACAAGTTAGCTTTGAAATTGCAAGGGGGGATCCAGCACTCGATAGGGTTTGATTGTAAGTAATCTTCGGATAAGAGTAATATGCTAGTCATAGGGTCCATTTGTTTAGGGATGGGGTGGAGCCAAAATCCCCGTCTTAGCAAAGCCTTGGAGGTTGCAGCCGCGGTGTACTTGAGCGAACGCATTGAGGCGCGAGTGCGTGCATCTATCCTGGTACCGCAGTGCGGGGCTTATGGTTGGAGGGGTGTGGCGGGGATCTACTTAGGGGGAGGGTGGCGTGTAAATTGAGTTTTGGTTGTTGATAGAGTCTACCTATGTGCGGATCAGGGACGCGTATGACATCGTTATCAGGCTTGACTTCTGATGATGGGCTGCTATATGGGGGATTGTCAAAATTATGGTCCTTTTTTGGGTCCCTAGTATAATACGGGGCCTAATACGGGGCCTAATTTAGGGGACCCAAAAAGGGACCAAAATTTTGACAATCCCCCATATGTCGTGTTCAGGAAGATGCATCCTCGGAGGTATGCAACAACTGGATGAGTGGATGGCACGGCTTGCATAGTTGAAGAACTTGGAGGGGGTTTACCTTTGCAGTTGGGGATATTCGGCTCCTGTTATGGGTTCCCCCAAAGTGGGGCCATAGTTTTGACAACGGGTTGCTGTTAAGTGAAGGAACTTCACTTAAGTTACCAAGCTTTCAAAACCCTGTTATGTACCATTGATCCCGATTCTGCTAACTTAACTTAGGGTCCTCAACAGCAGCCCAGATAACTGGCCATGCGTGCTATGGATTGGGTAATGCCCCCACCCCGTAACAGTCCATATTACGGATCATATTATGGGATATATATATACATATATACACTCAATATGCAAGTAAAATATTGTATCACTGTGAAAGGGTGGGGGCGGTACCCAATGGGTAGGCCTAGTCACTTAGGGATTTTGCCTCAGTAATGGAGAATCAAATGGAAAAAGGACATAGAACATGAGATGAAAACTGAGATTTTATACTGGCAGTACCCAAGCTATGGATTTGATAGCTCTTTCATCTTGCCGTGCGCTTGTTGTGGCAAAAGCAAGGCGGGAGCCGTAGACTCCACGGAAGCCACGGTGACTTCCGTTGTAGCAGCTCATAGGGTTAAGGGTTTAGGGTAGTATGACATACCCGGTTTAGGGTTTCGGGGTTTAGGATCTTCAGAGCTGCAGCATGCCGCTGCTGCCATGTGTGCCCCTGTTGCTGCTCACCAACGCAGCCGTCGCACTGGCAACCACCACGCCGGCAGCAGACTCAACATCGGCTCCAGCAACTTCGGAGGATGAGTGCACTTCGGCGGTGGAAAACATGGAAAACAGAATGGACAGGTGGAAACTTGAGTCTAGAAAGGGATTGCGTGGGGATATAAGGGGAACTAGAAAGAAGATGGACAACACAATGGTGGAGAATCAAATGGACAAATGCACCGGAGAATAACATGGACGCCTTAGGTCCCTGGAAATGATATATATATATTATAGAGATATATAGGCATGGTATAGGGTTCAAGGGACAAGGGAGAATCAAATAGAACAAATAAAGGGCGAATGGAAACGGCTGTTACATAAAGGTTAAGAGGGATTGGCACTATTTCGCCTTTGTTTTGCGATAGGCGCTGTGTAGCTAACCCAAAACCCTAAACCCCTTAACCCCTAAACCCCAAACCCCAAAACCCTAAACCCCTACACCCAGCCTCAAAATCTGAAGCCTCCAAGGTGTCACATGCATACAAACGCAAGGTGGCAAGTGCTATTTTCCTCATTCCTCGCAGCAGCATTGGTGGGAGAATGACCATGACAAGTCTTGCAGCGACTGCTCAAAGTGCGAGGAGGAAGAGGCTAGGGGTTTCGAGATTATTGAAGACCACGATTGGATCTTTGCCTTGAAGGGCGATGGATGCACCATCAAGGATTCCGCTGGGGAGGATACCACGGACTGCTTGCGGTCCGTAGTGAACCCCACCACGCAGAAGTACAGCTCTCATTCCAATTGCTTTGTGAGGCTCAAGAAGCAGAAGTACCTGACATTCGATTCCTTTCACACGGAGGCCCGGTTCGATGACCTGGCTGTCTACGACTTAAATGCGTCCGAGGCGCACTTGCTTCACAGATGGTCTGGAGAGGCTCGAAAGCTTCCAAAAAGTGGGAACTGTTGTGTTAGAGGGGTTAAATGGGGATTCCGCAGGGCCTCATGAGGGTTATATAGGGTATATTCTATATGGAGTCTATATCGGGGTTATGTAGGGATATCACCCTGATAACGGAGAATCAAATGGAAAAGAACATGCCTTCTGAACTGGAAGCTCGAATTATGTAGAGGTTCATTGGGATGATTGCCAGTATCATGGCCCCAGATTTCTCGTACGACTACTGCATTGGGTACCTCAAATCGACTTAAAGCTACATAAGTGAGTATGCATTACGTCCTTACAATACATCTGGCCAACAGATCGCCGCATGTCCAGAGAGGTCTTGTCTCATTCAACGAACAAGGTAGAGGGTTTAGGGTTTAGGGCTGGGGGCTTGCAATACATATGGTTCCGTCACAGGGTCCCCACGTTAATCCCCCCACCCTTTTCGAGAAACCCTGAAACTTAAACTGCAAACCCTAAACCCCAATCTCCAAACCCGAGCGCCCCGCAAAAAAACAACAAGCAATAATGCCTAAACGCTAAATCCAACACCCCCAAACCCCCACACCCTTATGAGCTATAGTCTAAACTCCTTAAAAGGGCTTATATAGGGGACCATATAAGGAATCCATTATAGGGCTTATTAAGGGGGATACGGGGAGTTTTGACGAAAGCTCTTATGGCGCGAAGTATCAGGTGAAGCCAGCGGCGAGGATGTTTAACAACTCGTGGGCCCTTGTGTGGGATGCGGATTATTCCATTCAGAAGATGCATGGCGGCTTAGGGTTTAGGGTTGAAGGGTTGAAGGGTTGTGGGTATAGGGTTTAGGGCTAGGGGCTTAGGGTTTAGAGCTTCAGGCTTGGGGCTTACGGTTTAGGCTTTGCGGGTTAGGGCTTAGGGCTGAGGGTTTTAGGGTTCGGGTTTAGGATTCATGTTTAGAGCTTTTTCCAACAGCTGCTGGCTGAAGCTCAAGAGTTGGCGAAAGCAGGGTAAAAGCCCCAATCTAGTAGAATCCATTCCAGATTCCAGGGTAGGGTTTAGAATTTAGGGTTTAGGGGTTTAGGGTTTAGTAGGGTTTCGGGTTTAGGGGT